ACTCATCTTCACTTAATTTACTTATTTCCAAGTCCTCAGGACATACTTCTGTATTTTTACTGTTTTCCTTTTGGACTGGAGCTTTTATAAATTCTTGGATGGTAGAGGACTGGTTTTTGCGCATGATGCTATTATTCAGTTGCAGTTACAGTCTGTCACCACTAGAATGGGATCGAGAGCCACGCGTTCTGAGCCCTCCGCCTTCAGGTGCAATGGCAGAGCACAGCAGGGATTTGGGGAGGAGGGGCACTTTCTCTCCCATGCCAACCTGGATTCTGATCAGCTCTCACTCTCTGGTTTCTCGGGGCCCTGGCTTGCTGTGGTTCCCCCATGCAAAAGCTTTCCCCCATTAGACTGTTTCCGCTGCACGGGCGGTGGGAGTCCTGGAGGATCCCCGGATGCGTGGCCCCTCCCCTGCTCCTTCCCTTCCCGACAGCAGCAATCCCAGTCTCTAGGGGAGGGAGCAAAGATCTCTCTTACCTGGTTCCAGCTCCTATGAGGGCGGCTCCAGCCTCTCCGCCCTCCGTCGTTTGGCTGCTGTGGGTCTCTGATGATCTCTGTGTTTTTAGGGTGTTTTGGTTGAAAAGCAGTTGCTCCTTTTGGTTGTAATTTGGAGGGGAGAGAGTCTGGGGGGAGCTCACCTGACGTCACTCTATTTTTAATTTTTTGAGGAACCTCCATGCTGGTTTCCATGGTAGCTGCACCAATTTGCATTACCACCAGCAGTGCACAAGGGATCCCTTTTCTCTGTATCCTCACCATCACTTATTATTTCTTATCTTTTTGATAACAATTCTAGCAATGAGGTGCTATCTCTCCGTGGTTTTGATTTCCATTTCTCTGATGACTAGTATGTTGAGCATCTTTTCATGTACCTGTAAGCCATTTGTGTGTCTTCTTTGGAAAAATGTCTTCTCAGGTCCTCTGCCTGTTTCTTAATTGAGGGTTTTTTTTGGCTCTTGAGTTCTATGAATTCCTCATGTATTTTGGATATTAACCCATTATCAGATATATGATTTGCAAATATTTTCTCCCATTCAGTAGATTGCCTTTTCATTTTGTTGATGGTTTTCTTTGCATTGTGGAAGCTTTTTAGTTTGATGTAGTCCCACTTGTTTATTTTTGCTTTTGAGAAAATTATATATCTTTCTTGACTGTCTTCACCAAAAAAAATCATTTCTAATCATAATTGTATCTTCACTGCTGCCTAGCACTGCTTTCATATGTCTCTAATCCACTCTATCTGAGTTTTTCCAAAATTTTAAGAATCTAGCCTTAACTTTAATTGTTCAACTCTCTCTCTTGTGTGTCATCAAGAAAAGAGAGATCATCTTATATAAACTTTCACATTTGTTTCTTTGCTACCTATAAACCTGTAATGTTTTAACCTTCTTTGTGTATATATTCATGACCTAGCAATTTTGCTGTAAAACTTTACCTTAATGAATTAAAGCATTGTTTATAATAATGAAATTTGGAAACAGCCTAAAAGTTCAGTACTACCGGAATGGCATTCTCATTTAACTGTGTATTGTAGCGCCATTAAAAAAAAATGAGGTATATGGGGCTGGCCCAGTGGGATAGTGGTTAAGTTCACATGCTCCGCTTCAGTGACTTGTGGTTCACAGGTTCAGATCCCTGGGACGGGCCTAGCACCGTTCGTCAAGTCACACTGTGGTGGCATCCCACATAAAATAGAGGAAGATTGGCACAGATGTTAGCTCAGTGACAGTCTTCCTCAAGCAAAAAGAGTAAGAGTAGCAACAGATCTTAGCTCAGGGCCAATCTTCCTCACAAAAAAATAAATAAAATAAAAATGAGGTATGTCTTATATATGCCTGACGTGGAGAGATGTATATGTTATATCACACAGTTAAAAAAAGTGGGTGTCATCATTCATAATAAACACTCTCTGCAGACTAGGAATAGAAGGAAACTTCCTCAAGTAGTAAAGGACATCCATGAAAAAGCTACAGCTAACGTCATACTAAATGATGAAAGACTAAATGCTCTTCCCCTAAGATCAGGAACAAGACAGGGATGTTCACGCTTGTTACTTCTGTTCACCATGATATCAGAGGTTCTAGCCAGTGCCATCAGGCAAGAAAAAGAAAGAAAAGCCATCCTTGGGAAGGAGGATGTAAAAAATCATAGATTTAATAAGTGAGTTCAGCAAAATCTCAAGATGTAGGATCAGTATACAAATACCAATTATATTTCTGTGTACAACCAGTGAACAATCTGAAAATGAAAGTACAATGGGATCATAATAAAATGCTTAGGAATAAATTTAACAGAGGTATAAGACTTGTACACTGAAAACTATAAATCATTGCTAAGAGAAATTGAAAATCTAAATAAATGGAGAGTTACTTCATGTTCAGGTATTGGGAAATTCACTACACTTAAGACTGCAGTTCTCTTCATGTTGGTCTAAAGATTCAGTGCAATCCCAATCAAGTTCTCAGCAGACTTTTTTGTAGAAATTGTCAAGCTCATCATACAATTTATATGAAAATACACATCAAGTATTCCCAAAAACAATCTTGAAAAGGAAAATGTTGGAGAACTTACTCATCCTGATTTCAGCACATCCTATAAAGCTACTGTAATTGAGCAGCATGAAACTCACATGAGAATAGATATCACATTAATAGAATGAGGAAAAAAAACCACATCATCTCCCTTGATGCAGAAAAGGCATTTCACAAAACCTAACACTCTTTCATCATTAAAAACTCAATGAACTAGGAAGGGAACTTCTAGAACATGATAAAGGCCATATATGAAAAACCCACGGCTAACATCATATTCAATGGTGAATGACTGAAAGCTTTTCCTCTATCAGGAACAAGGCAAGGATACCTACTACCACCACTTATATACTTCTGTTCAACATAGTACAGGAAGTTCTAGCCAGAGCCATTAGACCAAAAAAACGAAATCTGAATTGGAATGGAAGAAGTAAAATTATTTCTCTTGGCAGATGACGTGATCTCGTGTGTCTAAAACCCTAAAAAATTCCACAAAAAAACCTGTTAGAACTAATAAAATGAATTCAGCAAAATTGCAGGATACAAAATCAACCTACAGAAATCAGTTATATTTCTATATGCTGAGAATGAACAACCGAAAAAGGAAATTAATAAAACAGTTCCATTTACAGTAAGATCAAAAGGAATAAAATACTTGGGAATAAATTTCACCACGGAGGCAAAAAGTCTTGTACCCTGAAAACAACAAAACATTCTTAAAAAAAATTAAAGAAAACCTAAATGGAAAGATATCCCATGTTCCTTTAAGACTTAATATTGTTAAGATCACAATATTAAGTACAGTCCTTCTTAAAATACCAATGGCATTTTTTGAAGAAATAGAAAAACCCATCCTAAAATTCATAGGGAATCTCGAGAAAGGGATCCCCAAATAGCCAAAACAATCTTAGAAAAGAAGAAAAAGGTTGGAGTATTCACACTTTCTAATTTCAAAACTTAATATAAAATTAGAATACAATACAGTAAGGACAGATATATATAGACCAATGGAATAAAATAGAGAGCCCAGAAATAAACCCTCATGTATGTGATCAACTGATATTCAACAAGAGTGTCAAGACCATTCAGTGGGGGAAAGGACTGTCTTTTCAACAGATTGTGCTAGGAAAACTGGGTATCCACATCCAAAAGCATGAAATTGAACTCTTATACCATATACAAAAATGAACTCAAAATGGGTCAAAGACTATAAAACTTTTAGAAGAAAACAGAGGAAAATGTTCATGACATTGAGTTTGGCGATGATTCCTTGGAATTGATACCAAAAGCACAGACAACAAAAGAAAAAATAGATAAATTGGACTTCGTCAAAATTAAAAAGCTTTGTACACCAAAGGACACTATCAACAGAGTGAAAAGGCAACCCCCAAAATGGGAGGAAATATTTGCAAATCATGTGTCTGATAAGTGATTGATATCCAGAATAAATAAAGAACTTCTACATCTCAACAACAAAAAACAACTCAGTTCACAAAGGACTTGAGTAGACATTTCTCCAGTATAGATATACACATGGCCAATAAGCACATGAAAAGATGCTCAACATCCTTAGTCATTAGAGGAATGCAAATCAAAACCACAATGAGACAGCACTTCACACCCTTTAGGATGGCTATTACCAAAAATGAAGAAAAATAACAAGTGATATTGAGGATGTGGAGAAATTGGAACCCTCCTGCATTGCTAGTGGGAATGTAAAATAGAGCAGCCACTGTGGAAGAGTTTCGTGGTTCTTCAAAAAGTTAAACTTAAAATTACCATATGATTGACCAATTCCATTCCTGGTTATATACCCAAAAGAATTCAAAGCAAGGACTCAACCAGATACTGGTATACCAGTGTTCATAGCAGCATTATCCAAAAAGCCAAAAGATGGGAACAACCCAGGTGTCCATCAGCAGATGAATGGATAAAGAAAATGTGGTGTATACATACAGTGCAATATTATTTGGCCATAAAAAAGAATGAAGTTCTGATAAGTGCTGCAATATAGATGAATTTTGAAAACGTTATGTTAAGTGAAGTAAGCCAGACACCAAAGGACAAATATTGGTATCATTCCACTTATGTGAGGTTTCTAAAATGGGCAAATTCATTGAGACATACAGAAAGTAGACTAAAAGTTATGAGGGGCTAAGGGAGAAAGGAATGGGGAGTTACTGCTTAATGGTTACCGAATTTATGTTTTGGATGATGTGTTTTGGAAATAGATAGTGGTGATGATTCCACAACATAGTAAATGTACTTACAGCCACTCAGTCGTACACTTAAAAAATTGTTCAAATGATATAATAATAATGTAAGGCAACTCTAACCTGGTCTTTTACTTGATTTAAACAAGATTTCAGCTGTTAAAATTAATGCTCAAAGTTGGGTTTCATATAGAAACCAAAGGAGATGGTCATGTTCTCTCTCAGCTTTGCGTTCGTGTTTGTATATTTTTAGGGTTAATGCCTCTGGCAAGTCAAGAATCTTCAGATAGTCTGGCAGCAGAGATTGTTACACCTGAAATCAGGTAAGGACATCATGAGGTTCACAGTCACACTGCACTAACACTTTGAACATGAACTCAGTATTAAATGTCCGTGTTTTCAGCATGTAAAGTTAGAAGCTCCTTCAACTAGCCCCAGAGACTTGAATTTTGATTTCGATAGGACGTTTCACATGTACACAGCAATCTAATAGATCTATGCTTGGGTATCCTTAGCAGACATATACAATGAAACCAGTTGGCCCAAAGACAAAGGTTATGCTTAGCCGTCAATCTGCAAGATATTTAGTCCCTAAGATTTATCTGTTAACTACGTGGAATGGTCTGGGAAGGATAGAATGCAGTAGACAGGAGGAGTTATCTCCCTATCTCTACTACTCTTCCCTCAGTAGCACCTTACATTTTTATTTAGTCATAGTAGTTTAAAAATTCCATTTATTTCAGTACATACCTGGCTTTATGTGTAAGAATGAAAAATTGTTGCCGGGGGGTAGGAGAGTGGGGGCAGTGCAGGTAGGCACCAAGTGTCCAGCAGAAAGAGAACGATTACTCCTGAAGATTGCTTTTACCTTCTTTGGGTATATTTGCCAACTTTTTAAATTGACGCTGGCCTTGATTCTCCATAACATTCTTGAGGGTATTAAATAAAATAAAGGTTGTAAAAGTTTTATAAACTGTGAAAGTTACAATAAGCATTCAAATACTTGTTGAATAAATGGAGACAATATTAATAGATTGTTGTGGCATTTAAGGAGGACAGACGAAAGGAGTATAAAGCAACAGCAGCTCTGGGAGCATCATCTATGCCTTTTACTTTCTGCCATCTGATATGGTACTTCATTACTGAACCAGTAAAATTTGTTGATTGAATGAACTCTTATTATTAATGAATATTTATAAATAAATGGTTATGTCCAAAAAAACAATTTTTAAGGATCTTATAGGTAATAGTTGGATTTTTAAACTGAGGAAAAAGAACATGATAAAGATTCAACAAATAAAATGGCTTTTTTGAGTATGACTCAGTACAAATTAAAATATACTCTGTCCAGAAGAGAGCTATCAAGAAAATGAATGATAAAAGGGATGAAAATTTTGCAACATAGGTCATAGACACTAGGCTAATATTCTTAATACATAATGAAATGTCTGTCAAATTTTCAAAAGCTTGTGACAGTTTTCACTGAGTTAGTTAAGGGTGTGGAGAAATTGGAAACTGCATAAACTAGGATAAAAGATTAAAGTGGTACAACTTTTTTTTAATTATTAATTTTTGAAAATTGAGATATAATTGGCATATAACATTGTATTAGTTTTAGGTGTACAATATAATGATTGGGTATACGTATATATTGTGAAATGATTACCACAGTAAATTTAGTTAATATCCATCACCACACATAATTTAAAAATTTTTTTTTTGTAGTGGTACAACTTTTCTTCCAAGCAGTTTGGCAGACTGTATATTGTCTAAGCAAATTTGCCTATCTTTTGACTCAAAAATTACTTTGCTGGGAACTAACCTTAAGGAAATAACCAAAAATATACATACAACTGATCATTGTTAACATGTTAAAGCTCAAAATGGGTAACAATAAATGTCCTATAATTGTATGTTGATTAAATAATGATTCATCTATGTATTTTAACATGTCATTTAAAATATTAAAGTATAATATTCAATGATATGAAAAGATTATGAAAATTTAAGTGTAAATATCAAATGTCAATGTAATATGTGCAGTGTGATCCATTTTTAAAAGTGTCTGCATGTGTGTACATATGCATAGAATTAGAAGGCTATATATAGTTCAGCAGTAATTATTTTGTACCATTGGGTTATGGAGGGTTTGTATTTTCTTCTCATTTATTCTTTTTTTCCCCATGTTGAGTGTTTTACATTGTTATATAATTTTGTAATTACATTGTAATTAATTACAGTCCTTGAAAAATATGATAAAGTCATTGTTGTCCATATACAAAATATATCGAGTTCTATATAATTGCTTAACTTGGACCACAGATTTGACTCTCATCTTTTCAGTAGCAAAAGTAAAAGCACCTTATAAGATCTGTGGTATTTACAAAATAAGAGCAGACTATTTTGTGTATTTATTATCTTGTTTTTGTTTTTTCTTTTTCCATGAGAAACATAGCTTTTCATAGTGCCTGGTATTGGTAGTAGTCTTCTTGGGGCCATCTAAAGATGACCCTACGTAAAGAATGAATTAGGTCTTCAACAAGTATATCTTGAATTGTATCTTTATATGAATTGATGTTGAGTTATATCATCTGTGCAGTAAGATAGTGGCAAGTTTTGTGTAGCCGTTGCTTTTAACATCCCTCAATCTAAGCTTTTGGCATAACACAAAGAGCACAAAACAGTAACTTGGGTCTGATAATCTGGCTTGTTGCAAGGATACAACTTTATGTATCTGTAGGAGTGGGTGGACTGCACATCTTGAAGGCATTTTTCATTGAATATTATAATTTTCCACCAAATGATTGGTAATTTAAGAGCATAGCATTAGAGATTAGAGATCCTGTTTTTTTGATGAGGACCAAAGAACAAATGTATAAGTGCATTCATAGCTTTAATATTTACATCAGAAAGGAAATAGGATTTTAAAATCTCTTTCATTATAAATCATGATATTTGAAGATTCTGAATCTTTAGATTATCTTTTCTAAAGTACTTACTTAAGACCTAAAATGTAACGTCTTAGCCAGTGACAACAGGAACTACATTTTTTGCAGATACTTTGTTTTCTATTTCTGTTCTTTGTATTAGATCTGTAGCTGTGCATAGCTGGATTGTGAGAACTATACTATATTAATGTACCAGATAATCAGTTTTTCTTTTGCTCACTCAGGGAGAAACTTATTCGCCTTCAGCATGAGAATAAGATGTTAAAACTTAACCAAGAGGGTTCAGACAATGAAAAAATTGCCTTATTGCAGAGCCTTCTGGATGATGCAAATCTACGCAAGAATGAACTGGAGACAGAGAATAGGTAGGACTGTTTACAGGCGACAGCATTTAGCATTTAACAGATTTTCTCTTTTTGCCTTGATTTTGATTCCCTTAAACAGAGGTTTGAATTTATTTCAAAAAATGATAATATATTATCTCATTTTCCTTTTAAGAATATTTTAATCCATTTCTCCACTTATGGACAGACTTGCCAAAAAGTATTGTACCTCTAGAATAGTATTTTCCTCTTTATTTCTCAGGGAAAAGGATACCAAAGCCCTACCATTTTCCCTTTCTGATCACTAATTAAACTAGAGGTTTGAAAGAAAATGACCATTAATTCACAATTTCAATTCATGATCGTTATCAGATTAATGACGTTTACCCTGTTTTTATAAGCTCATGTTTCAGAGGATCGATTGGTGTGAGAAAAATAGTGGGCTCCATCATAATTGAGTTGACAGAGCATTCTTTTAAAAATCTGTTATCTCTTGTGACTGTAAAAGGAAATCATTCATCTTACGAACAATTCAATTATTTTGAGAATTTAGAATCTGCAAATTTAACAAGAAAATCAGTTTTCTGTTTGTAAGTTTTCAGCGTTGGCATTATGCTGTGATTCAAAGCCACTTTAAAAGCACTTGCTTATTCTGGCGAGGGTTACTTTTATACTTTGTTGAGACAATCTTCTGCTGCTTTTCCATTTTGGAAATATTTCTTAGACACCAAACATGTGGTGTCTTTTTTTTTTTAGTGCTGTGATATTCTGTCATTTTTTAAGGATTTGGCGTTTTTATTAACAGTTTCATAGTTTGCCTATCACAGATTCTTTATTATGCCTGATTGATGTGGCATTTTCCAGATATGAGTCAGTCTTGTGAGTCAGAATTGTTATGACAATTTACATATCCTACCCATCCTCCTGTAGCTCTAGCTTTGTTTTTTCTTTTTCTTTTCTTTTCTTTTCTTTTTTTTTCTTGAGGAGGATTGGCCCTGAGTTAACACCTGTGCCATTCTTCCTCTATTGCTTTTCATGTGGGATGCTGCCACAGCATGGCTTGACAAGTGGTGCTAGGTCCATGCCTGGGATCCAAACCCCCAAACCCTGGGCTGCTGAAGCAGAGTGCATGAACTTAACCACTACGCCACAGGGCTCGCCCCCTATAGCTCTAGTTTTTAAAGCTACTGAGGTAGCACCTGCCAACAGTATAAATACCAGGGCGATTATTAGAACATAATTAAGCATAAACAGAGGGAGGACATTTTCATATCAATTCTAAGGAACATAAAGAACAAATACTCTTTTAAAAATACTTAAAGTGGAAAATGAGCAGGAGAGGAAGAGAAGTTGTAGCTAACAGCTGGCAGTTACGCAGTGCGCGTGGTGAGAGCTCCGTGTTCACATCCTCGCCCTTTGCCTCTGGGCTGCTCTTTAGCCGGCTTGGTCAGTCAGCCTTCTCCCTACCCTGTTTTGCGTTCGGTGAATCAGCACCACTTCTTTATAATGCTTTGCATTATTTCTCACAGGTTTTACAGCTATTGCTTTTTCTCATCAGAAACAGAACAGCGAGTTGTCATCCATACAGTACTCATGTGGGTGGATGACTGATTCCTCCAAGGCCCTATGTTGTTTACAGCTGTTTGCAATTTAGTATTGTGTTTGTTTCCTAAATTACAACCCTGATGATAACTTCCTTTCAGACTGTATATATCTATGACCTGTAACAATGATAATAGCAGCTCCTGTTTGTTCCAGCTGTTGTGCTAAGTATTTTACGTATGTGGTCTTATTTGTTGAGCTTCGCAGATGAGGGCGTTTGGGCTCAGACCCAGGTTACCTGACTCCAGAGCCTTTCCCTAACCAGTACCCTCCTTCTTGCCAGTTTATCTTCTGTCATGTTTGTAAAGCATTTATTTTTTTCCTGCCTTCCTCTTCACAGGATGCTTTTTCTCTTAACTTTACCCTAAGTTTGTTGTTACTGAATTTAGGAAGTATTTACTTTACCTTGTCTCTGCCGCAGTTTACAGCACTGGACTGATACCAGGAAACCCAAGTTTTAATCCCACTGAGTGTTTTAACTGTACGACCTTAAATACAGTTTGCTTACCGCCCACATGCCATCTGTTAGAAGGAAAGGTTTGTAGTAGACCTCCACAGTCCTTTCCAATTAGTTTTCCCAGTGAGTCAGCGTTTTTAAAAAATCTGTAGTCCCTTCTGACCCTCGAACAATATTAGCAGAGGCGTGAAGAGTTGAGAGGAGAGCCATATCAGAACGGCTCAGGGAGCTTTCTCAAAGCACACGTGATCTTGGTCCTGTGCCTCTCAGAGTATATCATGATCTCAAGCGCACCCTCTCCCTACACCCCCCAGACAACTAACCTTATATGATTAGACTTCCATTAAAATGTTAACTAGCTAAATTCCTGAATGGGGAGAAAGAAGACAGGCATTTATAGTGTACCTGTACTATAAGGTACTGAACTAGATACACTTTATATGTTATCTCTCTTAATCCCTTAACAGGCCCATGGGGGCGGGCATTATAGTCCTCATTTATTTTGTAGATGAACTTTTTCATATATATTTACATGTATTTGTATAGCTTCAAATGTGTGTGCACGTGCACATGCACGCACATGCTTCATATTTTAAGAGTTTTGTTACTGTGTTTACTTGTCCATTCCCCATCACTGGGCTTTTGAGTTGTTTTCAAATCCTTCCAAGAAACATCTTGGTTTGGTGTGATTCTGTTTTATGACGTTTACCATGGCCTCCACCTAGTAGGCTTACAATATTTGTTGACTAAATAATTTGAGAAATGGCTAAGATAGTTGAAATAGTCTTAGAGTTTGATATATATTTCCGTATTGCTTTCTGAAAAGATTGGACAAAGTTACAGTGTCACTAGTAATATATTTATGTACCCCTGTCCTCATATTAAATATGGATATATTCAGCTAATTCTTTAACTATTGAAAAGCACTCACATTTTCTATTCCTTGATGTGAAAACATCAGTTATTATAACTGATTGCATTTTTACTGTAATTCTTACTAAATTATAGAGCCTAGAAGGTTTATAATAAGAATTTCTTACAACATTGAATAAAAAAATTTCTTGTTGAACTTTCTGGCTGTTTTGATTCTAAATACTCACTTCCCTTAATTTGGGGCGGTCTGGCTTTTACTACTGTCATTTCACTAAAGCATTTCTTACTAAAATAACCAGTCATCTCTTAAATGGCCAATCTGATGGGAATATTCAAGACTATCTTTCCTCGTCTCTTTACTAGAGTCAACCATCGCTTATCGACGGAGATACGTTTTGAGAAATGCGTTGTTAGGTGATTTCATCATTGTGTGACTATCATAGGGTGTACTTACACAAATCTAGATGATACAGCCTACTACACACCTAGGCTACACGGTACTGATCTTGTGGGGCCACTGTCATGTATGCAGTCCATCGTTGACCTAAATGTTATGCGGCACATCACTGTATATTCGTTATTGTTGATCATTTCCCTCTTCTTCACATTTTTCATTTTCAGTAACATCCCTCTCTTAGGTTTTTCTTAATTCTCTGATTATTCTCCAGGGTGAGATTCTTCTTTCTGTCCTTTGGTTGGTGATCTGCCATGGACCATCTTATTTCTCTTCCACTCTTCCTCACATCTAATCAATATTGTTTATGCTCATGGCTTCAGTTAATTTCAAATAGCTCCCAAATCTATTCAATTCAGGCTTCTCTCTGTGCTTCAAATGCAGATATCTAACCATTTGACAGATATCTCTAGGCACTTCATTTTTAACAAAGACAAAATGAGATTCTTTATGTTCCTTTCTCAATAAATGGTTCTTGGTAGCTCAAACCAAAATCCTAAGTGTTATTTTTTTATTCCTTGTGCTCTTTTGTCTTCTCAATATATTTCCCCTTCTGTTCCCTCTGTTTCAGGCGTATCTAGTAATAGCTGTAATGACCTCCTCCCGCTCTTCGTGCCTGCTCTGTGACCGTTTCTGATACTATCTTCCACTCTCAAACCAAGGGGATCTTTCTAAAATGCTGTCTAATTGTGTTTCTCCCTTCTCACAGTCCTTCAACGTCACCGAGACCTAGGTAACCAAACTGGTCCACTGGTCTGTGAATGTTGCATCATAATGTCCTAGAGAATTTATGAAGATCGAGCTCCAGAATCAGCGTTATTAAAGGCTGGCTGGGTTATTCCAGTTCCAGCCAAATTTTAGACAAGATTATTGGATAAGTTCCCAATATTTTTGCATTTCACACAGGGTTTTACCCGACCTCTCCTTTTCTCCTCTAGTTCCATCTCCAGTCATTCTTCCCTCCCAACTTGCTCTTCAGTCGTACCATTCCTGAGCTCACTGCACCCTCTCATTTTCCTGTGCACTTTGGACATGTGGAATTCTCTCTTGAATCCCCTTTCCACCGCTAACCGCAGAAGTATTTTATTTATTCTTCTAATCTCAATTCAAGTGAAGCCTATCTTGACTTCTCCACACCGTTAGGTGCAGTTCTTGCTCGTTGAGCAGCCATCCTTCCTTTTGTATGCCTCTGGTCACTGTTGAAGTATTTCTCTTGTATTTTATTTGTTTACGTTTTGCTTCTCTACTAAATTCCTTGAGTGCAGTGATCTTTTAGCACTAGTGCTGAGCATAGTGCCCAAGACAGTTTGAATAAACATACATTAAAGTGAATTTCAGAGAACTAGATATGCATAAGTATACAAGTTCAACAAAATGTGTCCACCCACACACTATGTTGGAAATCATAGAAATTTCAAGCGATATGAAAAATTATCAGGAAATGAGCCACTACTACTATAACATGAGGCTTTGTTTAGCTAATTATACTGTCTAACCTATGTGACAACCTAAGGAAAAGGGCGTAAGTTAAGTCAGAACTTGGGAAATTAATGTACCTTTGATTTCTAGGCTGGTGAATCAGAGACTTCTGGAAGTGCAGTCACAAGTCGAAGAACTGCAGAAATCTTTACAAGATCAAGGATCAAAAGCAGAAGATGTAAGTTTTGATGTGTTAACGACCATGGGCCAAGAGTTTATAGTGTTAAGAAAACCTGTAACTTTTATTTTTTATTTGGGGATCTCTGTGAAAATAATTTATAATTATATAGGTTATAGAAAAGAAACAGTGTTTTCCTTTTACTAACATTTCTTATAAAAAGAACCAGACAGTACTTTATTGTGTCTTTCAGATTGACTCTTCTGGGAATTAGAATTTCATTTGTAATTATCAGCTAAGGAATTAATTGAGGCTTGATGTTTTAAATGTGCTCAACTCAATATTCAAAGTATATGGGTTTGGGTTAAAAAAATGCTGGTTAGAAACTTACTGTGTTCAAGTAGAAATTTTTGATGTAAAATTGATATTTAAGAAAATAGTGCCGTTCCTAGAATCCCACCATCTCTAAATTTCTGAATCCCTCTTACTGTCCTCCCACACATACAACACACGTTCATGTATAAGTTCCCTGACCTTTTTTTATAGTCCCTTAGCACTCTACATATCTCTCATAGCCCTTGGCTGGCACACTCAAATCCAGAATATAATAAATGCCTTGAGCCAGGAGCTAGGTCTTCATCTCCTCATGCTCATCATCTATCACAGTGCTTGTGTAGCATATCATAGTCAGTCAATCCTGGTAAAAGTATAAATAAATCATATTTTGCAAATCCTTTACATTTAATGAGCAGTCAGCAACAGACCTACGACTATAAAGTGCTCAAAAATAGTGCAAAGGGGAAAAAAACCTAAATTTTAGTGACCAACCTTTGCTTCAGCCGGTTTTTTTTTTTTTTTTGCCAGTGTGATTTACCATAACTCTGGCCTTAGAGTATAAACCTATTTTCTTGTTTCCATTAGTAGAGTCATTTTGAGGATCATTGTCCAAACTATAGATAGATCCAGTTTCATCCAGCCTTATTAACGTATGAGGGTATAAAAACAAAAGGAATCAAAGAAGTGGAGTTAAATTCGCGTGTTACTTAAAACCTGAGATATGAGAAGCTCATCAGTGACCTAATTTTATGAGTTTCTTAACATACGTCTAGCTTACATTGGCAGCATACTCTTCTTTCTAAGATCGGTGGTTTTAGTTTATCCTTTAATTAATGCATTGGTAGTTCTTGGATTCCCAGATTGATTCCAAATTCCTGAAATTGTCACCAATGTTTAAACTGCCTTATTCAGTTATTAAAATGTCCTGGTTTACATTTTAGACATACTTTTATCCAGAAGGTTAAATCACAAAGAAGTGAAGCGAAACTACCTTTAGTGCATTAAAATATTAGTAAGCCTAATGAAGAGTACCTTAGAGACGAACCAAAGGAGCAGTATTTCTTAGTTTGCTGAAATCACTAGGTCCGTTAAACTGAGGTGAATGTGAACTTCATTTTGTTCTCTAAAACTTGGGGGAGACTTTTTGTTGATTTGTTGTGGTAAAAAGGGGAAGGGTGTGTGGTACATGGAAAGCAAAAATGGCGGAATATCAGGATCAGCTCAACCTTAGTATTAGAGCAATAACCATTGTACTTGATTCTCTTACTTATACTGAAACATACTTAACGAAATTATTCTGTAAAAAATACTTTTGCATAGCCTGATTAGGTATCACTGTGGTAGTCAAATCTAATTAAATATGCTATGTGCCATTACTTGAAGAGAACATGTTTCTGAAGTGAGATGCCAGCCCTATAAAGTACTGTTTGTGTAAATTAGTCAGTTTATTTGTCCAGATGCTAATGAGATATCTTGCTCTAAATTCTTGGAAATTCTCTCAGAGCTCTTTTCTATATATGGAAAAGATTCAGATAGAAACTTTTCCTGATGATATGCCTCAAAGTGCTTTGGAGAAATAGTGTGGCACAGGACATGTGGTTCTTCCCCCCAGCAGATTTTTGATATTTTTGTCTTCTCTCTTTCACTAACCTACAGTGTTACATCTCAGGAATATGTGCTACTTAGAACAACCTGCCAAATGGAATTGGTCCCCCTGAAGAGCAACATAATTTCTGCCTATTTCTGTTGTCAAAAGCACAGTCCTTTCATGTGACCTTAAGTCAGAGTAGGATGGTTTGCACATTTTTATTATTATTTTTATGTCATTTATTTTTAGCATGGAAGCAGAAAAGCATTGTTATATCCAGTCATATGGATAATTTGAGCTAGCCACAGTGTATAAAACTCCAGAGAACGAGACAGGATGAGGAGACCATAGAAGAAAGAAAAATGTACATTTTTGAAAAAAAAAGCATATCTTTTACTTCTGTTCATGAATTACTAAATGGTTCCTTCTATTGGCTGCTGTGTTTGCTTCATACTAATATGTCCTCTCTGTCTCTTGGCATGGTTTCTGCTCAAGGCTATTGTAAGTATGGCTTCCTATTCATTTCTATATATCAAGCAGTTTTTTAATTTATACATTATCTGCCATCATAGTTGATGGTATTGAAATTTTAAGTTATGGGAATTTTATGCACAATGAATGTACCAGTATTACTTGCCTTATAAGCTTATGCCCGTTACAGTTAAGATACTTAAAGAATATAAAAAATTTAACAAGTCAAACTAAAGAGACTCTGCTCTTGTTTTTTTTTTTCCTCCCGTCCCGCTCTGCCCCATTGCTATAATTAGGTTGTTTTAAAAATTATTTTGAAGCTAGCTTCCTAGCACAGTCTGGTTCCCTCCTGCCACATATTTTGATAGTAACAGTCCAGTTGGAGAGGCATTGCAGCATAGAAAGCATGGAAGTGAATGAAGACCATGCATAGACTTTGGGGTCTGGCAGACCTGGGTTTTAATCTTGGATCTGCCACTTGAAATCTAGTGAATGTCTCCTCACCTTCCTCAGCTATGAGATAGGGCTAATGTTACTCAGCGCTGGGAGCTTAACACAAGACAACGTATATGACATGATTTAGTGCAGTGCCTGGCATTTTAACCACTCATTAAATAATTATTTTAGTGTGTATCATCTCAGAGTTAAAATTAACTTTACTAGGGGCCGGCCCAGTGGTGCAGCAGTTGAGTGTGCACGTTCCACTTCGGCGGCCTGGGGTTCGCCAGTTCGGATCCCAGGTGCGGACATGGCACCGCGTGGCAAGCTATGCTGTGGTAGGCGTCCCACGTATAAAGTAGAGGAAGATGGGCACGGATGTTAGCTCAGGGCCACTCTTCCTCAACAAAAAGAGGAGGATTGGCAGCAGATGTTAGCTCAGGGCTAATTTTCCTCAAAAGAAAAAATAATAATTAATCTTACTAGAACCTCATCAAAACATAAGTGTAGGGGCCAGCCCACTGGCGTAGTGGTTAAGTTCGTGCGCTCCGCTTCAGCAGCCTGGAGTTTGCAGACCTACATACTTCTCATCAAACCATGCTGTGGCAGTCTCGCATATACAAAATAGAGGAAGATTGGCAACGGATGTTAGCTCAAGGACAGTCTTCAACACACATAAAGAGGAAAAACAAAAGAAAACCATAAGTGTAAATTAAAGTTAAGGTGTATAAAAAGTATTTTCATTTTACCCTGTGTACCAAAGAAGGAACAAGCAATAATCTGAAGTTAACAGATTTATCTTTTTTTAATATTTAGGGGAGGCAATGATAGAGGATGCTGTGGTCCACTGACCTAGCTATAGTTAACATTGAGCAAAGAAGGGAATTTGAAATATTCCAGAGCTGTGTTAGAATGGGTTTGAATAAGCAATTATGATAATCATTACTGAATAAGGTGACTAAAAATCGAAGAACTTAGTGCGAGGGTTTTTTCCTCCCTCCTCGCTGCTATTGATTGATTGGACAGTTTGTTTTATAAGCCTGTATTAATTGGCTCATGATTGGTCAATTCTGATCTCCTGTTCTTCAGAAGACCTTTTTCCTTTTTCCATTAGTACCCATTTAAAGCTGCATTCTCCAGCATATTAAATTCTCTGCATATAATATCAGTTCTCATATCATCATATAAATTATCTGCAATCTGCGTATTTGTAAATGAGTGATTAAGTCAGTAAATAGTTATGGAAATTGCTCTCTCACTTTATCATGATGCAAGTTAAACAACATAGCAGATTAAAAGTGTCTTAAGGAAAGTCTAGTATTACTAGAGTTCTGCATGCCTATTGAGTCCAGGAATATTCGGTCTATACATAAGTGGCCTTTTTATTCATTTCCCTGACTGTAAATAGAAAATTCAGATGTGCAGTTTCTAGTTATTTTATACTGATTGCTATCACTTACAGGCTGCTCTCTCCATTATCAAAGAAAAATAAACGTGGGTACATGGTGTGTTTTCAGCTCTTTGACAAGAGAGATTACTGAGGACTGATTCAGAGTTAGCTACTACTATGCTCTTAATTTTTAAAAAATAATTTATTAGTTAAAATGTTAAGTAATAAATTATTGTTTAATTTTCCATTTTCAGTCAGTTCTTCTAAAAAAGAAGCTGGAAGAACATCTGTAAGTATAAAAGCCATTGAGGCTCATTCTTGTATCATCTCTTGTGGTTACAGAGTATCTAGGCAATAGCATGGGTGTCCCTTGGAGGTACAGAACCTTATAAGACATATTGATAGCATCTATAGGGTCTTGCTTACCCAAGGTCCTCACATCAGAACAATGACTGCTTTATAACTTTTCTCAAATGAGATTCCCGGGGTCTATGTGTTCATGACAGTATTTATAATCACAGCTAGGGGTTTGAGACACTCGAGTTCAGAAGTCAGAAACTTTTTTCTGTAAAGGGCCAGATAGTAGTTCTTTTAGGCTTTGCAAGCCATGGTCTGTGTCGTACCACTTAGCTCTGTGGGTGTAGCGTGAAAGCAGCCGTGGATGGTAAGCAAACTAATGTTGTGACTGTATTCCAGTGAGACTTGCATACGAAGAGGGGCGGCAGGCTCAGTTCAGCCCACAGTTGGTAGCTGTCCAGCTCTGGAGTGTAGCCCCTCAATCTTCCTCTTTAAGTAATTTTTTAAAGTATTATAAAGCTTATCAGTAGCAGATTTTCAAACATTTCCTTGAATTGCAAACATATCTGAACGTGACTTTTTAATCTAAAAGATGAAATAAAGTTTAAAATATTGCATTTGTTTTCTCATGAAGAAGAAATCTTCCTCCATCTTTGTCTTTAGTTGAAGTTGACAATGTTAGGAATGTTTCGTGATTTTTTTTCTCACACCCAGTAACAACTTTAATCCTTCCTATTACTTTCTAGCAAAACTCTCTCCTTGCAAACACTGAGTGGCCATGAATTGCTAGCCTGTTGGAGTATTACAGTGTTACCCTATGGTAAACCAGGCATCCTCAATACCTCAGAGATAACTATGACTTGCTCTGCTAAGATTGGAAAGAAATTCTCTAGTTTGGCAGCTTACCTCATGCTGTCCAATTTTCTTTTTATAATGTGGGAAAAGTGAGATACACCTAGCAACTGACACTTGCTGCCAAGTCTAACAATGGGCAGATTCCTAATGTACTAGAAGAGTAGAAAATATTGCCTCCCAGCCATTGTGAAGTTACCTTGAGTCAGAATTTAGTACCGAATTCTATCCTGTTTTTGTTTTCCATTCCTTTATTGCAAAAAATAGAATACCCGTTGTTTTGTAAAACCACTGTCTGATCATTGTTCTGTGTTGTCATTTATATGGTCAAAAATAATTTACTTCATCAAAAATAATTTGTTAGTGAGTGAACATGAAGCTTGTATTCATTTCTTCTGGTTGCCATAAATTGCTACAAACTGAGTGGCTAAAAATAATAGAAATTATTCTCTAACTGTTCTTGAGGCTAGCAGTGTGAAATCAAGGTGACAGCAGGATTGGCTGCTTCTGGAGGCTCTGAGGGAGAGTCTGTTCCATGCCCCTGTTCTAGCTTCTGGTGGCTGCCACCAGTGCTTGGTGTTCCTTGGCTTGTGGACACGTCGTTCCAATTTCTACCTCCATCTTTACATGGCCTTCTCTCTGTCTGTGTCTTCATATGGCCTTCTTATAAAGACACCAGTCATTGGATTTAGGGCCCACTCTGATCTAGTATAACCTCATCCTAACTAATTACATCTGCAAGGACCCTGTTTCCAAAAGTCACATTTACAGGTTCTGGGGGGTTAGGACTTCACCATATGTTTTTGGGAGACACAATTCAATCCATAACAGGGCTCATAGACATCTCAAAAAATGGTCATTCTCATGCAGATTTAAAACTACACTGGAGTCCATTTTACACACACCAAATTGGTAAAGTTTAAGAATCAGACAGGGGCCGGCCCGGTGGCGCAGCGGTTAAGTGCACACGTTCTGCTTCGGCGACCCAGGGTTCACCAGTTCGGATCCCGAGTGCCGACATGGCACTGCTTGGCAAGCCATGCTGTAGTGGGCATCCCACATATAAAGTAGAGGAAGATGGATATGGATGTTAGCTCAGGGCCAGTCTTCCTCAGCAAAAAGAGGAGGAATGGTGGCAGATGTTAGGTCAGGGCTAATCTTCCTCAAAAAAATAATAAATAAATAAAAATTAAAAAAAAAAGAATCAGACATACTAAGTACTGCCAAAGATATTGAGCAATTCTCATCCACGGCTGGTAAGAGTATACATCAGTTTACTTAGTAAACTTGAATATGCACGTATTATATGACCCATCAGTTCCACTCTCCTCTATATACCCTGATTCCTAGAGATGGTATAATGCATGTGTACCAGGAGACTTATAGAAGCAAGTATGGAGTAATGTTGTTTGTAATCATAGAAAAGTCAAAATGATACAAATACTGCCAGTTGTAAAAATGATAGCTAGAATGAGGTGTATTCAAACAGTTGAACACTAGACAGCAGTAAAAATGTGTGAACTAGGGCTAACACATCAACATGGATGAATCCCAAGGACATAATGTTAAGTAAAAGATGGAAGTCACACAATAATATATACAGTATAATTTAATGTATAAAGGAAAAATTGGGAAATATTAAGCAATATTTTTTTAGGAATACAGACAAATGCCTGTCACAAAAATGAAAATGATTAAAATTCTGAATTTTGGTTACCTCTGGGAGGGGGTTAGGGACACATGGGACTTCTGAGGTTCTGGGATAATTTCTGTATCTTCACCTGTTTCTTTGCTGGGCTTAGTTTTTCTTGTTCTTTAAAGTGTATGTATTTATTTTGTATATATATATTTGTGTGTTTGTGTGTGTCACACCCTCAAAAAAGAAATTGTTGAGAAATAAAAGAATTTATTAAAGTATTATGCATAGAAAAAACCAGAAAAAGGCGTAACAAAATACTCTGGTTTTTTAGTGTTTCTCTCTGTTTTCCAATTTTTGTAGCCTTGTTTCCCTCTCATATTACAGAGTGCCTCACTAGGTACTATATAGGGAGAATTACACATATTATATAAACACCAGGAAAAACGTACTTTCTGTACATTCATTCTTTTTACTATTGTATTAGAATATGCCTTACATACAGTAAAGTACACAAATCCTAAGTTCCTAAGTCTGCCACTTCATGAATGTCCTTCTACGTACATAGGTAACCCAGATCAACATATAGCATATTTCCAGCAGCCCACCAGGATTCTTCCTTCTCTCTTCTAATTGATTGATTATATCCCCAAGCTCATCACTGTGTTGATCTCTATCACCTTTCATTAATTTTGATAGTCTCTGAACTTGATATAAATGGAATCATACAGTATTACCCTTTCATGTCTGACTTCCTTTGTTCAACCTTCTGTGAGATCTATCCATGTGGTTGCATGTATCATTAATTCATTCCTTTGTATTGGTGTGTAGTGTTCTTTCTGTTCTTGTTTTTAGAACTTCACTTCTTTTTCAGTAAGATTTTACATTGTAAAATCTCTGCAAATTTGTAATTTAATTTTTACAATATCTTGTTCCTAGAAAAAATATTAAGATCATTAAGTTCTTTGTACTCTCTTGTTCAGGTTCATGTAAAAGAAATTGACTACTACTTCAAACTCTGAGATTTTTGTCTCTATTTTTTTCACTTATTTAAAAAATATATTGGGCCAGCCCCAGTGGCCTAGTGGTTAATTTCGGCACACTCCGCTTCAGCAGCCTGGGTTCTGTTCCCAGGCAAGGACCTACACCACTCGTCTGTCAGTGGCCATGCTGTGGCAGCAGCTCACATACAAAAAGAGGAAGATCTGCAACAGATGTTGGCTCAGGGCAAATCTTCCTCAGCAAAAAAAAAAAAAATATATATATATATATATATATATATATATATATATAAAATTCATGTTGAATTAGTCTTTTCATCTGTGTTTCATAGCGCTGTGTGCTATGCAAGTATATTCCAAGAGTAAAGAACTTAGAGTTTTCGTTTGTGGAAAAAAATACAAAACAGTAGTAGGTGACACAGTGTTACATACTTTGTTACAGAGAGAAGCTGCATGAAGCCAATAATGAATTGCAGAAGAAGAGAGCCATTATAGAAGATCTTGAACCAAGATTTAACAACAGCTGTGAGTTTTTCCCAATTAGCATAGTTTTAAATTAGTTAGCCATATATTACCCTAGTGATAATGAGTTTATATAATATTGTTTCTTTTAGAAATAGGTCCTATGACATTCTAGCAATTAAAGAATTTGCCTTATTTACAAAAAGTATATAATCATCTTCATAATGTTTCTTAAATTTCTAATTATAGCAGTGAGATTTTCCTTAACTATGGATGCTAATGAATATTTTATGAAGTTAGTTATTTCCATAGTGTAGTTGCATGTAAGTCAGCCAAACTTTTACTTCTGTTGATATTTACACATGTGGGTAACTGACTTTATTAATTCTCTGGTGTGGAGGTGGGAGTAGGATGCAGACTTTTACTGTTTTTTATTGTGGTAACATCTACATAACATAAAAATAACCACTTTAACCATTTTTAGTTATACAGTTCAGTAGCATTAAGTACATTCACATTATTGTGCAAACACAATCCATCACTCAACTATCCAGTATATTGATATTGTACAACCACTGTCCATCTCCAGAACTTTTTCATCGTCCCAGACTCAAACTCCATACCCATTAAACAATAACTCCCCTCTCTCCCCTAACCCCCCTGCCTCTGGAAACCACTATTCTGCTTTCTGTCTCTACAGATTTGACTATTCTGGGTAACTTATATAAGTGCCATCATGCATCATGTCTGGCTTATTTCACTCAGCATAATATCTTTAATTTTCACTTGGTAATGGCTCCATGTTGTAGCATATATCAGAATTAAGGCTAAATAATATTCACTTGTATGTATTTACCACATTTTGTGTATCCATTCATCTGTCAATGGTTACTTTTTAATTTATTCACTTCCATACTGCAATTTTTGTTTATAAAAAAAGCTTTTTGTAAAAACAAAAATTATAAATTAGGGTTTTTTAAAGAAAATTATATGTAGAAATAGACCAAACAATCTCTCAAAGCTGTTACCTATTTACTGTTTGTCGGTTGATATATTTTTAAAGTTGTTATAATCTCAAAAAAATTTTTTGCTGTCTCATCTGCAGCCTTAAAAATTGAAGAATTACAAGAAGCTTTACGAAAGAAAGAAGAGGAAATGAAGCAAATGGAAGAACGATATAAAAAATACTTAGAGAAAGCCAAAAGTGTAAGTATGAATTTGTGGGTATCTCTACTTTCTGATCATATTTCACTGACGTCTCAGAATATAGTGCACGTACAGCGACTTTTCACACAGAGAGCTGTCAGGAGAAGGTCAAGAACTGCCAAAACGACAGTGTATCTTTATGTAGGAAATAAGTGGCAGTCATCACCTTAACTAGTAATCAAAATTAGCTACACTAATGGTAGGACAACCAATATCTTGTGCCTCCTGGTGGGGTATCATTACCAATAATATTTAACCTGATTCTAAGCAATATTCTAGACCTAACTTTCAGTTCCCAGGGAAAATGTGGTTATTGGAACAAGTTAAATAGCACCTTCAGGAAGTCATCAGATAAATCCAGAATTTGGCATAGAAGTCAATGTTATAGAAAAACAAATATAGACAGTGGAGTGTGAGGGAGCTGTTGTAATTTAAAGAGCCAAAGGGACCTAAATACCAAATGTAGTGCATTAATATTTGGGTCCTGGGCTGGGGGCAGAAATGAGCAGTTTTGAAAGACATTTTGGAGACAGCTGTGGAGATGTGGATTTGGACTGAATGGTGATGATTTCTAATATTGTTAATTTCTTACAGATGATAATGGTATTATGATTATGTGGGGGAATGTCCTTAGTCTAAGGAGATGCACGTTGAAATATTTCAGAGTTATGTGTCATGAAGTCTGCACATTAATTTAAAATAGTCCCCAAAACAAGCAGGCGTGTGTGTGTGTGTGTGTGTGTGTGTTTGTGTGTCTAGAGAGAGAAATCAAATGTGGTAGTGCAGCTATTGGTGAATCTGGGTTAAAGGAAATGAATTTTTATTGTTCTGTTCTTTCCAATTTTCTACAGATTTGGTTATTTTTCATAGTAAAAGCATTGGGCCAAAAAGCAAAAAGACTTCCCGGAAAACTTCTATTTGGTTAACTAGAATTACATCACATGCCCATGCTTAAACTGGGGCACTGGCAGAGGAGGGGATGGGCCACAGTGATAGGCTTTTAAACCATAAGGACGTGCCCCTAAGTACACGTCTGGTCGGAGGGGAACACTAGCTGAACCAAATCAGAGGAAAGGAAAAGGAGACAGCTGTCAGTAGTGTCTGCTGTGGTATTACTTATTAATTTTAAGCCAGAATTACTTCTTTTTTTTTCTCCCTTTTTCTCCTAAAGCCCCCTGGTACATAGTTGTGTATTTTTAGTTGTGGATCCTTCTAATTATAGCATGTGGGATGCCGTCTCAGCATGGCTTGATGAGCAGTGCCATGTCCACGCCCGGGAGTTGAACTGGCAAAACCCTGGGCTGCCGAAGCAGAGCACACGAACTTAACCACTCAGCTACAGGGCCGGACCCCAGAATTACTTCTTATACTTGATTCTTGTACATAATTAAAAAGTTTTATAATTGAAAGTTACAACAATTGAATATTATTTCATACATTCACATTTTAAAGTATTCATGTAAGACAGCTTTTGATTCTCATAAAGTTTATCCTTTGATTTTTTTTTTAATTTTCTTTTATTGCTTTTTACAGGTTATCCGTACTTTAGATCCTAAACAGAATCAAGGAGCAGCACCAGAAATACAGGCTCTTAAAAATCAGCTCCAGGAACGGGACCGACTGTTCCATTCATTAGAGGTAGTTTACTATACTAGATGATAAAATATTTTATTTTCGATTCTTTATTTTCTAGGAGCCTTCCTCTATACAATTGTGTCCATTAATTTAGACTGTTAAGTGTGAGTACTTCATTGATATTGAATTGTTTTTTATCTTTAAATATTTACATGTGCTTGCTTTTCAGAAAGAATATGAGAAAACAAAGAGTCAAAGAGAGATGGAGGAGAAATATCTTGTTAGTGCCTGGTACAATATGGTAAGAAAATAACACTTGAAATCATATTGCAAAGTTCAGTGAATATGTAATATTTATTATACTCCCTCTACTGTAGAAGTAACTCTACCAAATGAATCTGAAAGTAATTGCCATTCTAACACAAACTAACAAAACCTTAATGCTAACCTTAGGACTGAAAAGCAGATAAGAGAACCACCATAAACAGGGTTAGGGCGTTTTGAACACCTCATTAAACCTAGAGGATAGAATCAGTTGGATTTTGGCCCCTCAGAATCATTTTATTCTAGGGGAACGGGACTGTAATATTATCTACACAAAATTGCAGTAACTTTTGTTTTGTGGGACTATTTCAGTGCCTTTCCAGGAGTGGTACTTACACCAAGGCTACTTCAGCTATCTCGTTTGTGGTTGTTGACAGTTAGTGCCATCCTCTCACCTTCCCGCTCTCTATCAGACAATGTTCTGCTGCTATTCATAGGGTTTTGATGGCCAGTTTTTTGGAAGCGGGTGGCCAGGTCCTTCCTCCTTATCTTTCTTAGTCTGGAACTTCTGCTGAAACCTGTCCACCATGGGTGACCCTCCTGATATTTGAAATACCGCTGGCATAGCTTTCAGCGTCACAGCAGTATGTAGCCACGACAGTATGACAACCGACAGACTGGTGGTGTGGTTCCCTGACCAGGAAATGAACCCAGACCGTGGCAGTGAGAATGTGGGATCTTAACTATTAGACCACCAGGACTGGCTAACTATCTCATAGGGTTTGGAAAATGTTCTAACTGGTCCAGCAGTATTAGACCCTGAACGACTGGAGGTTTTGAGGTTGAATTTTCCAACACAAAAAAACTTTAAATGTATTGCAGGGGAAAATAAATGCTCATCAATATCTGGGCTTCAGTAACATTTTCTAGATATAAATAGCTATGAATTTGTAAGAATGCTGTACTTTTTTCAATATTTTTTTCTAGACTTTTTGTCATCTTTTCCTTCTTTGTTCTTCTTTGTAAGACCACTTTTGCCTTTTCGAAGTGTCAGTTGTGCAAGACAGGAAATTGGACCAGATTCTTTTCGTCAGACCCCCCTGACTCTATAGTTGTGTTATTGGCACAATGCCATTATTTCTGTTTTACAGTTATAATTGATGCTGTGTCTTAAAGGCTAGTGTCCCAGGCCTTCTAATAATGTGATTTGATCTTTGTCAAAAATTTATACAATTTTATGGCATAGTTCATTTATATTTGCCTTGGTTAAAACTACATATTTAAGATTTTATCACAATTTTGAAAAACAAAAGAGGAAATTGTATTGTGTTTAGAATACTATTATTGTTAACAAATATAGATTTCTTGAAAATTAAAATTTAAAAGATAGGGAAAAAACTATATATTTAAGGAAATTCTCTAGGAACTAGTCCTGCCTCCACCTATTCTCTTTCCACTTTGTCCTTGTTAAAAGTTAGTGTTAGTGACAAGAAAATAGTGGAATTAAACGAAAAACTAGACCAGCTGGACTTAATAGAGATATATAGAACATTCTATCCAAAAGCAGAATACACGTTATTCTCAAGTGCACATGAAACATTCTCAAAGGTAGACCATATGTTGGGAAACAAGGTATGCCTCAATACATTTAAGAAGACTGAAATCATATCAAGCATCTTTTCCAACCATAATGCTATGAAACTAGAAATCAACTGCAAGAAAAAAGCTGGGAAAGTGACAAATATGTGGAGACTAAACAACATGCTACTGAACAACCAATGGATTAATGAAGAAATTAAAGGAAAAATCAAAAAATACCTGCAGACAAATGGAAATGAAAATGCATCATACTAACTCCATTGGGATATGACAAAAGTAGTCCTAAGAGGGAAATTCATAGCAAAACAGGCCCACCTTAACAAACAAGAAAAATCTCAAATAAGCAATCTTAAACTATACCTAGCAGAACTAGAAAAAGAAGAACAAACAAAGCCCAAAGTGAGCAGAAGGAGGGAAATAATAAAAATTAGAGCAAAAATAAATAAAATTGAAACCAAAAAAATAGTAGAAAGGATCAATGAAACTAAGAACTGGTTCTTCAAGAAGATAAACAAAATTGACAAACCCCTAGCCAGACTCACCAAGAAAAAAAGAGAGAAGCCTCAAATAAATAAAATTAGAAATGAAAGAGGAGAAATTATAACTGACACCACAGAAATGCAAATGATTGTAAGAGAATACTATGAAAAGCTATATGCCAACAAATTGGACAACCTGGAAGAAATGGGTAAATTCTTAGACTCATACAACCTCCCAAGACTGAATCAAGAAGAAATAGAGAATCTGAATAGACCAGTTAGAAGTAAAGAGATTGAAACAGTAATCCAAAACCTCACAGAAAATAAAAGTCCGTGACCAGATGGCTTCTGTGGAGAATTATAGCAGACACTCAAACTATCCTCAAACTATTCCAAAAAATTGAGAAAGATAGAACACTTCCTAACACTTTCTATGAGGCCAGCATCACCCTGATCCCACAGCCAGAAAAGGACAGCACAAAGAAGGAAAATTAAAGGCCAATATCACCGATGAATATAGATTCAAAAGTCCTCAACAAAATATTAGCAAACTGAATACAGCAATACATTAAAAGGATCATACACTGTGATCAAGTGGGTTTTATACCAGAGACATAGAGATGGTTCATCATCTGCAAATCAGTCAATGTGATACACCACATTAACAAGTGAGGAATAAAAATCACATGATCATCTCAATAGATGCAGAGAGAGCATTTGACAAGATCCAACATTCATTTATGATTTAAAAAACTGTCAATAAAATGAGTATAGAAGGAAAGCACCTCAACGAAATAAAGGCCGTATATGACAAACCCACAGCCAACATCATACCCAACGGGGAAAGACTGAAAGCCATCCCTCTGAGAACAGGAATAAGACAAGCATGCCCACTATCAACACTCTTATTCAACATAGTACTGGAAGTTTTGGCCGGAGCAGTTAGGCAAGAGAAAGAAACAAAAGGAATCCAAATAGGCAGTGAAGAAGTAAAATGCTTGCTGTTTGCAGATGACGTGATTTTATGTATAGAAAACCCTAAAAAAACCCATCTGAAAACTATTAGAAATGATCAACAATTGTAGCAACGTTGCAGGGTACAAAATCAACTTATAAAAATCAGTTGCACTGCTCTACTCTGATAACAAGCAAACAGAAAGAGAACTCAAGAATACAATCCCCATTTACAATTGCAGCAAAAAGAGTAAAGTATTTAGGAATAGATTTGACCAAGGAGATGAAAGACCTCTACAATGAAAACTATATGACATTATTGAAAGAAATCGATGATGACATAAAGAAATGGAATTATATTTCATGCACATAGATTGGAAGAATAAACATAGTTAAAATGTCCATACAACCTAAAGTAATCCACAGATTCATTGCAATTCCAATCAGAATCCCAATGACATTCTTCATGGAACTAGAATAAATAATCCTAAAATTCATATGTCTCAACAACAAACCCCGAATTGCTAAAGCAGTCCTGAGAAGAAGGAACAAAGCTGGAGGCATCACACCCCTGATTCAAAATATACTACAAAGCTATAGCAATCAAAACAGTATGGTACTGGTACAAAAACAGGTACAGTAAATGGTGTTGGGGGGCTCACTTGGTGGCATGGTGATTAAGTTCATGTGTTCCACTTTGGCAGCCCTGGGTTCACCGGATTGGATCCTGGGTGGGGACCTACTCATCACTCATTGAGCCATGCTGTGGCAGTGTCCCACATACAAAATAGAGGAAGATTGGCACAGATGTTAGCTCAGCAACAATCTTCCTCACCAAAAATAAATAAATAAATTGTGTTGAGAAAACTGGACAGCCACATGCAAAAGAATGAGAGTATCTTTCACCATACACAAAAATTAACTCAAAATTAATTAAAGACTTGAAAGTAAGACATGAAACCATAAAACTAGAAGAAATATAGATAGTACACTCTTTGATATCAATCTTAGAAGGATCTTTTCAAATAGCATGTCTACTTGAGCAAGGGAAACAAGAAAAAAGGAACAAATGAGACTTCATGAGACTAAAAAGCTTCTGCTAGGCAAAGGAAACCATGAACAAAACGAAAAGACAACTCACCAACTGGGAGAAAATATTTGCAAATCATATATCCAAAAAGGGGTTAATTTCCAAAATATATAAAGAACTCACACAACTCAACAACAACAAAATAACCTGATCAAAAAATAGGCAGGGGATATGAACAGACATTTTTCCAAAAAAGATACACAGATGACCACCAGGGATGTGAAAAGATGTTCAACATCACTAATCATCAGGGAAATGCAAATCAGAACTACAATAAGCTATCACCTTACACCTATTAGAATAGCTATAATTACCAAGACAAAAAACAACGAATGTTGGAGAGGATGTGGAGAAAAGGGAAGCCTCATACACTACTGGTAGGAATACAAACTGGTGCAGCCACTATGGGAAACAGTATGGAAGTTTCTCAAAAAATTAAAAATAGAAATACCATACAATCCAGCTATCCCACTACTGGGTATTTATCCAAAGAACATGAAATCAATGATCCAAAGAGACTTATGTACCCCTATGTTCATTGCAGCACTATTCGCAATAGTCAAGACATGGAAGCAACCCGAGTGCCCATCAACTGATGATTGGATAAAGATGATGTGGTATATGTACACAGTGGAATACTACTCAGCCATAAAAAAGACAAACTTGTACCATTTGTGACAACAGATGGAACTTGAGGGTATTATGTTAAGCGAGATAAGCCAGACAGAGAAAGACAAACACCATATGATTTCACTCATGTGGAAGATAAATAAATACATGGACAAAGAGCTCAAACTAATGGTTACCAGCAGGGAAGGGGGTTGAGAGGTGGGCATAAGGAGTAAAGGAGCACACAGATTTGGTGACTGACAAATAACAATGTACAACTGAAATTTCACAGTGTTATAAACTATTATGACCTCTATAAAATCATTGTTTTTTTAAAGTTAGTGATCCTGGAGCTCTGCGCCTCAATTCTTATTAGTAATTTTATGTTCTTGGTTGATTTTTTCCATTGTGGCTCCTCTCCCTTCTAAGCTAGTAGGCCACTCTTCTCCTGTCTTCAGGAAAGACCCCTTGCTCTCACTTGGGCCCTCTGTTGTGGGCTTTCGGGAACTTTTCTTAGTTTGTTTGAGAATACAAGTCTGCCTGAAGTGAAGAAAAACAGCATGGTGGTATGTATTACACCTACTGTGCCTTTCCACCTTCAGAAACAAGTGCGTTTGTGTTTTTCCATTCTAACTAAGCCCTGTGAATTCCACAACCCCATGTGAATCAATTGCTTCCAATCAATTTTGCTTTTTTTCTTGGAAAATCACTTTATACATTTGATTGGAAAGGGAAGTATGTTATGATTGGGTATGGGTAATATATTTCAAAAATCTGTCTTCATTATCTATGGTTTTGGTTATTGTAAATTCAGAAAATTAAGCCTTAATTTTTCCAAAGGAAGATTTGTACCTAATTGTTGGAACTAAATTGTGTCTATAAGATTTTTATCTCTAATGAGCAGAATTAACATACCTAATTGTGCCTTATGATACTGTGTAACAAATTCTGCTTGATGAAATTTTCTTTTATGAGAATATGTTCCACTATTTTTTCATTGATTATTTTTTTCTGTTATAGGGAATGACTCTGCATAAAAAGGCAGCTGAAGACAGACTTGCTAGTACAGGTTCAGGGCAGTCATTTCTGGCTCGGCAAAGACAAGCGACCAGCACCAGAAGATCTTACCCGGGCCACGTTCAACCAGCCACAGCAAGGTAGACAAGTCTTGCCATTAGAATAAAAAATACCCTGCATTCAAAACGTACTTCTGTTACATATAACAACATTTCAGGAAATTCAGCCAGCTTAATATTTGTCTCGATTTTATGTTAATATTTAGTAGTTTCTCATTTGAGGACTTTTTCCTGTATCTATAATGTTTTAGTTTCTTGGTCCTTTATTTTGTAGTCCTTTCAGTTCCTTTTAATGTGCCAAAAATTTTTAAATGCCCAATTAAAAGCATTGTATAATAGTGTAGTACTTTTCTTTGTATGAAAATGTCCTTTCCCCGATGGTGTAGGCTTTGTAATGAATTAGATTTTCTGCCAATAATTGATATACAATTTATATTCTTTATTGTGCCTCTGTGTTACCATGCTTTATAAGAATGTCTTTGTTTAAAGGGAATTAATCTTTTTATGATGTATTAATCTGTGTTTTCAATTGTTTTCCAAATGCACTTCAGATAACTTGCGTATTTACTATATAAAATGGTTGGCAAGTGCACTTTTTGCAAAGACATAAATACATTGGCAGAGGTGCTAATCAGATCTTACCTAAAGCACCTGATAGAACTATTTAGAGTAAAAAATGAGTTTTCACATTGTTTTCTAGGAAATTAAATTTGTCCGAAGATTTGGAAACTATTTTTAAAACATAAATACGTAGAATTTCATTATTTTCTGCTATCTTGTTTGCTGGCAGAAGTGAATGCATGGAGTAGGTTATTTGGGGGGAAATTGCAGAAGAAGAAAATTTAGCAGTGCATTGGTTTTTTTCTTGTTTTGGAATCTCATAGTAACTGAGAATCAAATCCCAGCAATGTGGCAACGTTTGTAAAGTCAACTGCCCTCCACATCTAAAAGACTTATTTTTCATGTACTTAGAAGTAATAGGTAGCCTTACTTTTGGGGCAATTTCCTTGTTGACTCGCACCTCCATTTGTTTTACTTTCTCCTTAATAGAAACCCTTCTATTTCTCAGTAATTCCTAACACCTAACATTTTAATATCAGTCATTAAGATCAGTAAGTGACTTCTTCTATGTAATGTTGTGACAGGTCTCTCTCACATTTTTTCTTAATTCTATGTCCTAGCCCAAGAATTTGCTACTGAATAGATTCTCTTGGGTGTTTGGTGGCCTCACAGTGCTTAGATTTGTTGACAGGTTGTAAACCATGTTTATTTACATTGACAAATGGCTGTCAAGTAATAATAATTTTCAAGCACTTTGACTATTTAAGGTGCTATATAAATGCAACATATTCATTTGAAAATGAAATGCCTCTGCTTAACTTTCCATATTGACGTAAGTGTCGGGTCCCAAATTATATTTAAGTTGCCCTGCAGCCTTTTTCTTGCACCATAGCCCATCTTTTTTAAAAGCAAAAAATTATGGAAATTAGGCTGATTTTTGTTTTTGTTTTTAGATAGGTTATCTAATAAGAGGATTTTATTTCATGTACTTGCTATTTGGAAGTTCAGGTTTAATTTAGTTTTGTATATTAAATACAAATGAATAATTTTAAATCAAGATAAATATAATTAAGAATTTTCAGCAACCGTATGCCAAGTGTTTGATTTTCAGTCCTTAGTTTTTTATAAGAAAATTGACCTAAAAATTAGTAGTATTTTCATTTGTCCTCAGAAACTGTCCTTGCAGAAAGGTATTATAGTATACACAGAAATGACTCCGTGCATGTGCTGATTTTTGCATTAAGTGCGGAAGTCTGAGCGCAGTGTGAGCGCTTCTGCCGGATCAGGCCGTAAAGCAGGAGGAATTAGTAGTAGTGGAGAGGACCACGCGAGGAGGACACGTCGTGGGTTTCAGGAGGCTAAGCAGGCCTAGGCAACGTGGAAAGTTTTGGCAATAAAAGATTAAAAGCAGTTTAAGATGGTTCTTAGTTCTATCCCCTTATTTCGCAGATGGCATAAGGATTCAACTGTTTTAAAACAGAGCATGAACACTAACCTTGGTAAAATTAAAATTACTGGGAAATTATACCCACAAAATAAGATAAATGAAAATAAGAGAGTCTGTGAACTGTTCATTACATGGATTCTATCCCATGCAATAAGAGGTTTTAATTTTAGTTTTCTGTTTACTGCCCCACTCCTGGGCTCCTACCCACCCGTCTACTCAGATATATTGCTCTAAACGGCTTGGAAAGATGCCAAGCTTTTAGAAGGAAGTTTTATTTATTTTTCTTCAGCATGTGTTGCATGCTGTTATTTTGGTGTTTACATTCATAACTTTCACTGTCCTTTACCTGTAAAGTTTAGTATATTACTTTCATTATATAGAAGAAATTATGTTTCTAAACATCCTGTAATTTTTTTATGTTTTTTAAAGCAGGAATAAAACAGCTTTAACAGCAACAGTCCTGTCTCCCTTGCCCAACTTTGGACAGGATTTATGAAATTTCTGTTTCTTAAGTAATGATTAATAATTTCTCAGAAGGTTTGTGATGATGCGTAGTCTGTCTGAAAGTTAACAGACATTGGATGCTTTATCTAGATGTGAGCCGTGTTGTGCCATCTTTCGCAAATCCCCGGATACAGCAGCTTCATGAAGCCGCTGTTGACGTGGACAGTGGGGCTAGTCCTGGCCTCAGCGGTGGAGTGAGTGCAGGGTGATTGCGTTAGGTTGGGTGAGCCATCACCCAGTGTCCAACTGCTTGTAAACAAAAAGCTTACTTTCTGGTTTTTTTCTAACCAGGGTAAGAAAATACAACCTAAATAACTAAAGAATATTAAAACATAACATTTATATTCTGCAGTGTGTATTTAAGAAGTTTATAATGGGGGGAAAAATCCAGCAAATATAGTAGTTTACCACATCTAAAAGAGAGAATAAATAATACAATTGTACATATCTTAAAAGAACTTTCAAAAACTCGATTATATGTTTTTATCATTTGTCTAATTACTTTATAATAACTAAGAAAAAGAAGTCCCTAAATAAAGGACCCATGTTCCAAAATTGATCAAGATTGAGTTATTTCTGTTAGATAGCCCTCGCCTGTCAAAATTGGCTTAAGGAATTATTAGATTATAATAAGGATGATATTGTCCTCTGTAATTTTGTCAAGGTTTTCTTGTTTTGTTTATATAATGAGAGCTCAATTGTACAAAACTAACCTAAATATTATCCAGTCAGAAACATGAGCCTGTGTATCCTGTGAGTCCTCACAAAGGCATTAAAGTCAGTCTGTGCCAATGAACAGCGGTAAGTGATTGTTCAGTGAAAGACGAGTGAGGTTGAAGTAGAGATACATCTTATTTATGAGCTACTTTACTCACATCTCCTTTTCAAGAGCAGTTTTGTTTTATTCTTGTTACCTGATGATACGAAATATTTTTGAGTGTCTCTTGCTCTTAGATAAGCATTCATCTTTTAAAGATACCACCATGTTAAAAACTTGAAAAGTTTTATTCCACCGTAAGAATTATCTTGAAACAAAAATCTAAATTTTTAAAATTTCTTAACTCTCTGCATTTACTCTCCAGTTGTCAGATCTCAGACTCCAGGGCTGTTACAGTTATCCCCAGTTGGAACATGTGAGTTTTACCCACAGCTAGTGTAATCCTAGCTAGTTTACAGCCATGTGGATAAGACTATCTTTGATCCTAAAGTGAGAGGAAGGTGCTTGGCATCTTCCTTTTTGCTAAGGGCAAAATAACAACATAAAGACAAAACGCTTTTTGTTGTCTAGTGATTAAACTATGGAAGAATATTTTGACTTTTTATCCTCGTATTATGAAGGAACTCTGCCTAGCAATGGCTGTCAAACTGATGTAGCATTGTGCTTCTCGACAGTGAAGCCTGTCTGATACTCTGAAGTAGGGTGAAAGGGTGTACTGAGCAAGATAAGATGGGATGTCAGAATCTTTGTGAATTATTGTAGCACGTTTTTCATTTTTCCCTTTTTATAAGTTAAAAGGGTTTTCCATTCAATAAAAACAATCTCTTTTTCTGTAGTCGCAACTGTCCAAATGGCCACTTAAAGCTTTGAGTGGTTGTACAAGCCAGTTTCATTACATTTAGAAAGCGGTGTCACAGCTTATTCTTTGTAACTATAATGATTCGAATATTTTATATCATGAGGTTTTTATATCAGGAAGGCTATTCTCAATGTATCTGTCATCCAGTTTTTTTACTGTCTATAAAGTATATTTAAATAATAATTGGTGTATGTTCCTTTTATTGAAACTTTTGAAAATGTTTTATTGTCCATTGTCAGCACAATACTTTCATTTTTCTAAAGTTTTCCAATAAATACTGTTCATTTCTTAGAAGCCTAAAATACACAAAATAATTTGCTACTGGCACAGCTAATGTCTAGCCCTCCCCATTTCCCCAAATTATGGAAGTATTAATATTTAGCTTCTTTTTTATAAAATGAAGACATCACAAATGTGATGACATCCATCTCTTTTCAATCACTGATTATGCTCCTGGGAAGTATTAGTGATTTTTTTTAATAGCCTTTTATCAGTCCAATTCACATGTATTATCCTTATGAATATAAGAGCTTATAAAATTTATATTTAATCTTATGTTGAAACATGAATATACTTGGATTCTTCACATTGCACTTAAAATGATAGAGATGGGATATTAGTTTGAGAAACCAGAGTCCAGAACCTAATTGTGGCAAGTATATGAGTTTTGGCAGTTCGGGGGGCGGGGTCTGTAAATGTTTCCTTACAATTATATATCAGCAAAAACCTGATGTCTCTTTTCAGTGTTTTTCTGTTTTCTTATATTTTTAAATAATATTCTATAAAATTAGGTTTGTATACTATATATAAATGAGCATAGAAATCTGAGAAAGTGACAGAAGGCTCTTGAGGCAAATCCATTCCTAGAGAGTAGAACAGATCATTGGGATAAGAAATGACCTAACTATAAACACATATCCCGGCAGATGAAAGTACTAATACAACTAAGACTTATTAAGAAATGTCCCTAAAGGGACAGTTTACATGAAATCTTCGGTCTTTATTACATATGATCATTCAGGAAAAAAGAGTAGACACAAATATAGTTTATTTTCTAATTCTCCTTCCCTTTAGTGGGCATTAACTAGGCACACAATATTAACTATATGTGTCTATCAGTGGAGGAGAAAGTATTTTCATTTTGAAACTGTTAAACCATTACTAAATCTAAGATAGTGATTTAAGGCCATTAAGGCTACTGTGATTTGATGAGATAAGAAGAAATTTGTGGTGGCTGAAAATCACTACCAACTTCTTAATAGTTACCTAGATCTGCCACTTTATCTAGTTTACAAAGCGTAGCCTCAATTTTATGCCCCCCTTAATTATACTTAGTAACCCCACAGGAAATTTTGTTTAAAATGAACTCAGGAGTAGACGCTTTTCTTAATATATTCAAGGAGACCCTTTATGTACCTGTACATTACCACTAGGCTCTGAATTAGATGCTTAGGGTCTGAAGAAGAAATCGTCAGAGAATGTGTCCATAGCCTCAGAATTTTGGGTCCGTGGGCCTATAAAATATCCTGAACTATATCTACTTAGAGCTTTAAGGAAGAATTAAATGTCATGAGAGAGCAATCTCAAAGCGAGAGAAAGAAAACTCCAGAGCATGCTGAGGCTCTAACGTGTGTGAGGGACTTCTAAGCAGGCGTTATGGCTTTAGACCTCTACATTGACGTCAGAAAATAATTAGTGTAGCAATTATATTAAAAAATTAATACAAGGGATTCATGTTTATTCTTGGGGTATTTGTTAACCTGTGAGCAGTGATTACTGTATATACATTCTATAGTGTGTTTATTTTATCTATGTCACTATTAGAGATGATTGTCTTGATATTATTTACTATTCTAATCATTTATGTATTATTTATACTTTACCGCAATATTCACAGCACTTTACTAATATTAGATAAGTATTTTCCTTCTCCCTTTCTGGGCATTTTCTATTAATATCTTTTCCACTGGGATTCTTCCTTGTTTTGGAGCGCTTGCTAAGAAAAATGTAAAGGATCACCCAAAGAAATGGGTTTTGTACTCTTCCTGAAATTTTTAAAGTCAGATCTGAAGTTCTAAGTCTAGAAGTCTATTTGAAGCCAGGCTGGGGCTACTAGGCATGAGTTACATTCTATAGTTCACATTAATAAGACTCCTTTATAAGTTAATACTTCTGAAGCCAAGTTATCTCAAATGCAAACACACTTGAAACTGTTTTCTCGAGTTGCATTAATAAAAACGAAACAATCTTCTAGTTAATCAGAAGATGTTCTTACCTTTGATTTTCCTGTCTCCTGAAATACAAACATACAAACCGTCCTTAGCTTTCATAGTTTCTTCATCATTGCCTATTCCCAAAGCCAGGATAAAGAAAGCCAAGTTCAGGAGCCCGAAGTCAGGGAACCTGGAAAATGGTAGGAGTCAGGTGATGGGAAAGGCAGATACTAAAGATGGCAGGATGCTACAAAATATTCTTGGTTCTGCTGTAACAGATAAACTTCATGAATTTGGCCAGTTTTCTTAAGTTCAAATACAGCAAATTCTTCAGCTTGTTCTATTGAGAGATGTTTTTAGGAGTCAGGACTCTTCCGTTTGTAACTTGAATATATTTGTATTCAAATTATAGTCCAAAAGTACTGAAATAATTCCTTGTTACGTAAACATCGACACATATGATTACTTCCAAAGAATAGGGAGATTTGCTCGTAAGAATGTTCTCTTAGAGTTTTATCTTGTGTTTTTAGATGAGAGAAGTGCTTTTCCAGTGTAAAAAGTTTCTGTAGTATTTTCTTCTGCTTTCTTCCCTGTTCTCCTGATGTGCTTTGCTCAGGCAGGTCACCTAGAAGAGAGCAACACTCAAATAGAGAAATCTAGACTATGTCCTCTGAGGGAAGAGCGGCTTTTAAAAAGTAAAAAATTAAACCCGTTCATACACACACACGGACAAAATAGAATGTTTTGAATATCTAGTAATTAGTTATTGAATAGATAAGTCCCCTTCTAAATGTCTTTATCATCCGTTGGCTTGTTAACTTAGGTAAGAGTAGATTCTAGATCTGCATTGTCCCATTCATTAGCCACTAGCCACATGTGGCAGTTTAAAATTAAATAAAATTTAAAATTCTGTTCCCCGGTCACCTGGCCACATTTCAAGTGCTCAGTAGTCACTTGTGGATAGTGGTTACCCTATTGGACAGCACAGATAATAGAGCATTTCCATCACTGTAGGAAATGCTTTTTGACAGCGCTGTAATGCCCAACGAGAAATTAAGGACAAAATAAACGTACTCAGTGAACTTATGATAACGCTTAGATTTTACCACCATAGTTGAAGAAAGCTATTTTTCTTATAAAAATTAAAACCAGCCTTTTTAAAAGAGCTTGGAAAATTCAAAACCCTGTTCTTGGAAACTAGTTTTCAATGGTTTTTTAAACAGATTCTTAGCACTTTATTTTTCAAGTGTTATAATCATTTCATAAATGATAACTTAGTATCTTCAGGTTTTCTTCCTTTTTTATGTAGTCTTTTTGAGTTAATGATACATAGTTGTCTCACACTTATCGAGCAAACTGACGAATGCTTAATTTATTGACAAAAATTGATCCACATCATATCCTCCTATTACTTTTAAGTCTATAGAGATGTAATGAAAGTGGCCAACAGTTTTCTGTAGAAACACATTTCTCCTTAAAATCACATTTGATTATCTTCCGGCTTAAAGATGCATCCAGATCCAAATAATTTTTTTGGTTTTCTTCATAGTTTCCTGTTCTTAATAACTTGGATTATGAATCAAGTTAAGTTTCATGTATGAAGCAGACATTTTATTCCAGTGATTTAGTTAATGAAATATTTTTTAGTATTTACTTGGCCTGTTACTAAAGTAATTAACATAAATAAAAGAATCTATATGGATGCATCTTTGAAATTGTTAATGAAAGAGACTAATCATGATTCTTTTGAGTTGGCTTGGTACTCAGTAACTATCCTGTTAGGAAGTTGTGATGCTTTCCCTTTCATTTGTAAATTTGTTTAGTCAAGCAACAGACTTGATCCAGTAGAGTCAAATTCCAAGCAAATTATGATGAAATTCTGTTGTTGAGGTACAGCTGAGTAAATGGTGTGATTTGAGTTGATTTTATTAGTTCCTTGGTGGCATAATTTAATGTGTGTTCTACAGAGACTCATATTAGTTAAGGGAAATTTTCAATATGCTTGAAATAAGAAATAGCATTTTAGTATAAATACAGGAAATGACTGTACACAAATGCCAATCAATGATTTGAGGCCTTTTAATTTTTTTAATAGTAGTCTTTTTGTTTTTTAATAGCCTTAGTTATTTAAAATTTAGATGCACTAAAATGTCATTGCTGTCACTAACTTTGCTGTTTACAGCTTATGTATAATTCAGAATGCTTTGTACTCAGAAGAATAATTTCCAGGTTTATCTTGTTTTGCAATTATCATGTTCTAACAATTGCCCCACCATTTTTAACAGCCAATTTTTGGTTGTGTAATGAACAGTAAAATTTGAACATATCTAATAATTTAATAATTTGCCTTATTTTGATTCAGAAATTCTATCAAAGATTTGGGGTAGAAAGAAGCTTTTTTGTTGTTGCTATAGTACTTTTTTAATCTTTTCAGATGAGCTGGAAAACACCTTAGTACATTGGAGTTGGCGTTGTATTGATTACAGTCCCAGCTCTAAAGCCTTACACTCATGTCTTAAGTATCACTGACTGTTCTCTGCATAGTTGTTAGTGTCATAGTTGACATTGTGGTTATCCACCTTGTAGTTTAGCCTTTGCAGAAAGGATATTGCTAGATATATTCTTATTTCTGCTTGACTGTTGAATTTATAATTTCGCAACTTGATCCTTTGTCATTATACTACAGAAATGAAATCCACATAGGACTCTAAATTTCTCACTTCACAAATGGAATCAGTACAGATTTAGCAACATTGTACATAATGGCATCCAAGCATTTTCCCCCTGTTTACTAAGTTTATCAGCCATTTACTATGTGTTATTGGATCGGTGGATTTTCTCACTATTTTTCTGAGTTGAATGACTTGTTGGAGAGACTCAGTAAGAAGTTTTCACTGAAATCACAAAAACATAAAGTCCAATAAACCACTAGAAGATAGATTTTTAATTTTTTTGAAATCTTATATTGTATTTCCTTTTGATATCATTTATTCATTTTAATTTTATGACTGCCAACTTGTTATGGTATTAATTAGATGTATATGTTTATATGTATGCATATAATATATGTATATGTATATGAAGAATAAAGTTAAGATTTGGTCAAACTATATTTTCCCATTCAAATACAAAAATGTTTTCAAGGCTGCAAAAAGTGTACAGTTGTTAAACAAGTTGTAAATAAAGACTTGTATAAAAATTCAGTTTAGACTTTTTTTCTGCTCTTAAATCGTGACAAACACATTTTGAATAATTGTCTAATAGTGTTCATCTACTTGCTTTTGGCCCTTGCCATAGGTTCCTACCAATTAAAAGATTATGCCACTGATTTATTCTTTGAGTTTCTTTCCAGTACCTGTGATAGATTTTGTTTGGATTTAGACTGGTACTTAATGTTTGTAAGCTGGTTGTCCAGAGTTCTTTGAGATAAAAGTTAAATATGGCTTCTCCCCTCTTACAGTTATCATTCAGCATGATCAGTCTTACCACAGACAGGACACAAGAACCAATGGTGGAGTATTTACGTTCTTTAACAATACAAAGCATTAGTGTTGAAGCATCCTATTTAGGCAATAAGTGCTCCTTTTTCTACCTTGTAGACCCTTACAGTTCACCCATTTCCTCACCCCTACCCTAAGCATTACTGAAATATGACGTCATCAGTGTTGTGGAAAGCAGTAGTAGCAATGTGGAGATTGATTAAATTTACATTAAAATAATCAGCCAAGTAATTCCAAAGTGAAGTTAGCACCAAGATAAAAAACTAGTATGCACATAGCCAAAATAGTACCCATTTTAATGTGTATTTATTGTAACATTTTAACGTCAGAAAGATAAATAGAAGTTTCCTTCACTCATTAGCATGGAGATAACAGTAGTAAGCTTAGCTCTTATGGAGTGTCTGTCCTGGGTATTTAATATTGAAGCAAAGGAGACAGGGATGAGGAGATAGGTTGAAGCACAAAAATTAAGCCAAAAAATGTTTTTGCCTTCAAAGATTTGTGTGACCAAATGGGCACAACACAGAAAAGTTCCCAAATAGAAGGCTCACCCAGCTGAAAGCCCACCAGTTTGCCTTAAGCGCTGTTCTGGTTACTGTCACATCGCTAGCCACTCCAAACCTGATGGCTTTAAACGACAATATGTTCTGTCGCTCAGGTCTGGACACATGCTCAGCTGCTCGCTGTGGGGGTCCCTTGTTCAGTTGCAGTTGATAATGGCTGAGGCTGGTCATCTGAAGGCTATTTTCTCATGTGTGTGGTACCCAGACTGACAGGGACAGAACTCCTGAGAGCTGATAGGCAACACTCCACACAACCCCCAGATGTGACTAGTTTGGGCACTCTTTCAAAATGGAGCCTCAGAGTAGACAGACTAGCTACACGCAGCTGGCTTCCCCCAGAGCAAAAATTCCAAGGGACCCCGGCGATAGCTTCAAAGCTTCATAGGAACTAGTTTTGGAAACTGCACAGCATCTCTTCTCTTTTATTTGTCAGAATTGTCACAGACAAGTTTTAAGGGGCTGACAGAATACACTCCACTTCTCAGTGGAGGAATGACCAAGTTACCACAGCTACCATTGTTCTGGATTCAAAAGGAAGGAAGATCTCTGCTACGAAGATCATACTTCTGCAGTCAGAATCTTTCCCCATTTTCTAATCCCTGTGCCAAGCACATTCATAGTGGTGCAGAACAGTCAGGTACGTAACTTCAGGATGAACGAGACCTGAGGTAGATCTTACGTACAGCTCTGGTAAGTTTGAAGCCACAAATACACTCATACTTCTTTTTACAGGTATCTAATTGTGTGCGGCATGAACTGTAAGATGTTCCTACCCTCTACTCTGGTAGTTTATTTCTGGGACTGTATTTTAAGGAAATTGTCCAAAATATGAAAGTCTGTGCGTAATGATGAACTCTTCTGTTCGTGGCAGAGTCCTCCATCTGTACAATAGGTGCATTCCGCAGGAGGCGCATCCAAGGATGCCCTGCACATTTTCAGTTTTCTCCCCCTACTAATCATTCCCATTACCATACAACTGTGCTGTCATTTCTCATATCTTTGAACTGTCTTTATTAATGAATTATTGTTCATTTTTCAAGTGCATGTTTTTGTTTTATTTTTGTTGTTCTCAAAGATGTTTGTTCCAGTTGCAGCTGTTAGTGCAATTACAGAAGTTGAAACAAGTGAGGTTCCCTCCTATAAAAATGAAACTGAAGCACGAGGATCAGTTTCCTTCACAAGTTTTCACTCCGTTTACAAGTGAGGGCCCTGGCCCTACAGTGAAAGATTGAGAAGGGAACGCACATCGATATTTTAAGAGAAGTAAAAAGTCCGTGGTAACACTTTTCATGATTCTCCCCTTTAAGCAGCTGGATCTGATCTTATTGGATGAGACTTTATCATCAGGAAGACAAAATAAGCCATTTCCATAAAAAACTAGGCACACCAAATAGTCTCTGGGCTTTAAAATACCTACAAAGGCAGCCAGAAAATGAGAGACCATTTAACAGCAATGAAAAGTGACCTGAGGACAATTTAACTCGTTAGTCACAAGTGAGTAAATTATTGAACTGAATTAATATTTGCTCAAAATTTAAACTCGATTGAAAACTATGAACCACTGGCCAAGTATTGTGTCTAACGGTCAGAGAAATGGTGGCTTTTGAATGTCCCTGCCTCAGTGACCTGGAAAAGTACAGACAAGAAAATTCCACTTTCACACCATAGGAGAAGCACACTGGTTAGAGGAATGTTTCTCGTATATCAGCACACAGAATCAGCCCTTTCTGAGTTCCGTGTGCCTGGAACAAGTCTAAGCATTCTGCAAACCGTTGAATCGTTTAACTCTCTAGGAGATATTACTATTAGCATTGCCTCCAGCATACAGTAAGGAAGGTAAGGCAGAGAGATTAACTTGCTTAAGGTAACAGCTAGTAAAAGGGAGGGCAGGGAATTGAGTCCAGGCGGTTTGCCTCAAAGACCACCTCTATTTATGCTGCCTCTCAACAACCTAGAGAGTCTTCTCATTTTCAAGGAAAGCCGAGTCTGAAGAGTTATAACAAATTCAATCCTGACCGTTGCACCATAGCCTGTGATCCTGTCACCAGACATCAGTGCTGGAAAAATCTCTAGTGAAGAACGGATTCACCAAACAGAGGAGAGCATCCCGGAACATGGGACCACTGCACCCCACCTTTAATGAAGGCTCTGAATTCCAACCCCAGCCCCAACCATCCCTTCCTCTCTAAGATCAGTGTCCACTGGGCTATGGTACCACAGCCCATCCACAAGGGTGGGGTGAGCACAGGCAATGCTGCGAAGCTCAGGCCTGGGTCTGCCGGGAAACACTGGCATCTGATCAGAGGATGACAGGAGTGTTACCAGCTATTCCCATCAAAGCTTTTAAGCCACTTGAGGTCCAAGGACTTGAATATGGCCAGGCTCCTTTCACAGAACACACAACAGTAAAGTACATTGCACTGAAAACGGTGTTTTGGCCATTTGGATAGAAACGGGAATTTATTTGCCAGGAAGGATGATGCCATCATACCTCCGCTGGAACCAGCACGTGGCCTCGTCTTTGCTGATTCTGTGTTTGGCTCCAGTGCAGCTGTCCTGCACTTCTTGTCTGCAATGCTAAAACCTGGCCTACCCAGCACCACATAGAAGTCCAGCTCACAGATACCAGTGCTCGGGTCATATTTGATCCCCGGATTGATGTGTTCCTGAATCTCCAAACCCAAGTTTCTGGTATCTGAGAAGTTATTTCTTCTTAACTTGTACTCACACCTTTAGACCTTTCTCCAAGATTTCTTCTGCCTTGTCCCATGGCCTGCACAGTGGATGCCAATCTTCTCATTTTTCTGATGCCAAAGGATCTGCTGGTGTATCTAGCTTTGGAGAACACTAGAGTCTGGCCAGTGAGCTGCTCCAGCACCTTCGCTGCCCAGGTCAGTCTGTCTCCACTCGCCCACACAGATGTTGAGGCAGAGCTTGCTGATGCGGAGTTCCCACATGGGGTTCTCCTTTCACCTTGATCCTGCACCATGGTGGGGAACAGGAAGAGAGCTAAACTGCATTTTTTTTTCCTTTTTTTTTTCTGGTGAGTGTCGACGAAAATAATCCATAACCAATCTATAAATGAAAATTTGGGTGAGTTTATTCTGAGGTTAAATCTGAGGATTATAACCCGGGAGAGTCTTTCCACAAAGCAACAGAGCTGTCCAAAGAAGTGGGGGTATACAGGGTGGTTATATACCCTCAAAGATATGATTGAAATGTCCCTTTTACAGTAGTCACGAGGCTGCTCTGTCAGCACAGCGACTGATGGAAATGACAGATAGGTCTGCTCTGTCTCAGTGAACGCTGCAGGCTGGCAGGTCTGTTGCCTCGAGCTGGGCGGTCACAGATGAGCGCTGCAATCAGTTCCCAGCCTAAAGAAAGATGCTTAATCTTTAAGGAGATGCCAACGTTGGGAGGGGGAGGGAAGTTGCACCTTTATCTCAAAATGTCTAAGCAGATATACAAGGCATGTTCAATGGCCACAGTCAGGCCCTTTTGGAAATACAAAGTCAGGCCAAATTAGGTTTATACCAAATGGCTTCCTCATATACTCCAATATATCCTATTACTTGCCATTTTTATTTATCATTTCCCCCTTTTGATCTCTAATATTTCGAAAGAAAGCATTGATGATCAAAATATTGTCCCTCAGCGCCAGGGTTGTTGCTGCCTGCCCTGGGTCCATCATGTTGCTCGGTGCTAGGCTTTTATTTCATTTATTTGCCTAGTCGTCCACGCTGGGGGGAAATAGTGGACAAGCATAGAGTTATATATATATATTAACAGAGGAAGCATTTCACATATCATGTAATTTCCAATTAATTTTAGATTGTTGTGCAAACATTGTATATGTGCTTTTCTATGACACTTCACATTTACATTGTATATGATTATAGAACAAGTACAGTAACGATAATAACTCAACATTTTGAAAGGATTGGTCTGAAATGAATTCTTAGTCGTAGTCCCTATCAGAAAAAGAAATTTGTCCAGAGTAATAAGACAGATCAACCATCTCAAGCCGTCAAGCAATCATTACTTTAGTTTGTATGCTACTCTTACAACAGTGAGTAAAGAAAACAACAATTAGTTTGAATATTATGACTAGTACAAGAATTCCAAGAAGTAGTAGAAATA